TGTTGAGGTTGGTGAAGTCGACGCAGGTCCGCCATTTGTCGTTAGGCTTCTTTACTAGAACTGGGTTGCCAACCCAAGTCGAATAGAGTGCTTCTCGAATGGATCCATTTCGGAGGAGGTTATCCACCTCAAGCTTCAAGGCAGCATACTGCTCCGGGTCCATCGCTCTCCTCTTTTGGCGAACTGGCTTGGCTTCACTATCGATGTTTAATGCATGACAAATAACATTCGGGTTGATCCCAACCATGTCTGCTTGCGACCATGCAAACACATCGATGTTTTCCCTGAGGAAGCTGATTAGTTCTGTAGTGAGCTGGGGATTGAGATTTTTACCGATCCTCAGCACCCTGCTTGGTTTGGTCTGATCGACCAGTACTTCAGTCAGGTCCTCAACTGGCCCACTAGAAGGGCAGTCCTGAATGCGAGGATCTATATTATCCTCGGCTGGGCCAGGCTGTGGCTTGGTCCGACTAATCGCCATTGTCTGGTTGTGATCGCCGCGTAAGGTGCCTTTGCCTTTGCACGCCATCTGTACTGCTTTCACATAGCAGTCCCGAGCTGCGCGCTGAGACCCGCTAACTTCCCCAATCCTCGTCAGGGTGGGGAACTTCATCTTCAAATTATATATTGAAGTGACCGCCTTGAAGTGTCTCAGCAGAGGTCGCCCCAGAATTCCATTAAAGGCGGATGGGCAATCTACTACCAAGAACTCAATTACTCTGGTCACCTCGTCGAAGTCATCCAACGTGACTGGGAGTGAGATCGTGCCCTTGAAGAGCAGGTGGTCCCTTGTGAAGCCATATAGAGGGAACGAGGCAGGCTTCAGGTCTGCCTCGTCCAAATTCATTCTTTCGAAAGTTGAAGCGAACAGAATGTTCACGACACTTCCGTTATCCACTAACATTCTCTGGATATTATGGCGCCCTATGAGGGGCGTGATCACAAGGGCATCATCGTGAGGATAATGCAACCGGGTCACATCTTTTTCGGAGAAGGAAATTTCCTCTTCCCGTCGAACCTTCTGTGGTCGCTGTGCCACGCTCATCGCTCTGATAGACTCGTGATGTGTCTTACGAGCATACCTTTCTTGGGCACCTCGCAAGTTTCTCGCGATGTGCGGTCCCCTGCAAATTAAATTGAAGATGCACACTCCTTTTTGATCGCGAGCCTTATTAAATATTTTTAAATAAGAAATGCAACCAAAACTTACAAGTTAGTAAAGTATCTTGAAGCTTTACTTTTCTCGTATGTTTGTTAAATATTTAATTGATTTGTTTATCTGATTCTGGGGTATTAAATTATATTAATTTTCTTGTGTTTGTTAAATACTGATTTAGGTTAAGTCAGTCTTCTATTAAATTTGTTTAAGTTTAGGTTTGTAGCTTTTACTTTAATCACTTATCACCCTATTTTAAAAATAATCAAGATCAAATAAACATTTATAAGGTATTTGTTAGTGTTTAATTCTTAAATTACTTTTTAGAAGAGAAGACGTGCTGTATGTAAATTAATCAAAATAGACAATTTTGTTTATATCAATCAACTAGTATTCTAACTAATTAGACAAGGCTGGCATGAGCTTGGCGTTGGGGCAGAGTTCCATCCAGCCCCTTGATCAGAAAGAGATCAAGGGCGGTGTCGACGCGTTCTCCAACTTTGAGGTACAATTGCCATATCGCAGCTATGCCTACCATGGTGGCCTGACATCGCTCTGATCTGGCATTCTGGCTACGTCAGACCAGATCGTCGTCATTGGTGATAGTGTCAAGCCAGATCGTGGTCACTAGCGATAGCGTCGGGCCAAATCATGGTCACTGGCAATAGTGTCGGTCCAAATGATGGTCATTGGCGATAGTGTCCTCCAACTCCAAATCATGGTCCTCCGATGGTGACCATTGATTTATCCTTTCTTTTTTTCTTTTTGGTTTTTGTTAATTTAAAATTCTAAACTTAATTTAAATTTATTAAAAAAAAAAAATTAGTTGTATGAATCTTTTAGATTTTTCTATCAACACTAACCGTGAATCATTGTTAATTATCTCTTTTTGTACATTTTAAAACTCTTGTCTACGTCGTCTCTGATTGATCCCTCCAAATTACATAGAATTCATTTGTTGTTGTATTTAATTTAAAAACAGAGAATTTAGGGTAGTAATTATTTGGAGCGATTTTCTTCATCTTATAACATTGGTTGTTATTTATAGGAACAAAAGATAGAAGAAGTGATATTTTGGGGTCCTTGCTTAATAAGGCAACTTTGTAGCACAAAGCCCGGAGGTAAAATTACATTTATGCTGGATTCATGATGGCCAACAACAAATATTAGTTTACACATAACAATAAAACTATATGTATAAATAAATCTTACAAAGATTTGTGTACAAACTAATGTGACACAAAATGAATAGAAGAGTAAATACAAAAAGTCAAACTTATTATATTTACTCTTTCATTTATTTTGTGTCATATCAATTTATATATAAATCTTTGTAAGATTTGTTTGTACATGTAACATTACTCTTATTAGTAGATAAGTAAATAAGACTATAGGGATATTTTTATCATATTTTATGTTAGTGGGTGTCTCATTCTCATGCATGAAAACCTAATAAGAGATTGGCAAAGGAAGGCGAATGACGTAGCAAATTCAATTTCTTAAACATTTCTGAGTTATAGTCTTCTTGGCAGGTATATGTTCTAGTAATTTTCAAATCATAGTTGAACCATTACCAACCATCTCAGTAATCTTCAATCTCTATTTGTATTAAATTTACCCATATTCTAAAGCAAAACTTACAAGTTTCCCTTCTGGTCTTGTTCTAATTTGATCTTAACCAACGCCTGCAAGTCTCCCTTTTGCTCCACTTCCAACTTCACATGTTTCAAATTCGGATATCCAATTTATCTGATCTGAATATTTGAATCGAATCAAAACGGATCAGATAAAATCCGAATCTATTTTGGATCAGGTTTCATCCTGATTCAAATTTTCAGATTGGATAAAAAAAAAATGCAAAATCGTATCAGATATCTGGTTTTGTACACCCCTAGTAATAACACCATTTGCATTTGTGTCAGAATCCAACAGTTATTAACAATGTTACTTTAAGGGTGAGAGTCTGTAATTTATGAGATCAGGGTTGGGAACTTGCCGCTTCGCTAAACCTTGGGTGGGAACATGTGGTTTATCTTTACTACTATTTATTTAATGAAGTTTTAATGTTATGTAATGCCATCTCAGTGAGTAGTGGCTAATTGGAGTGATTGTCTAATCAAATATCTTAAGGTTGTACCAAAGGTTCAGAGGTTGAATCATGTTTATATAAGATACTGAGATAGAGACTAGGGAGTTTAGGAAAAAATAAAAATTAAGTCACAACCCAATTTCATAACATTTTCTCATAACACTTGATATAACAGTTTATAATCGATCAGCTCGTAAATGGGTCATGTCTGCTTGCTATGGATCTCGTCTGTCCATTTGCGAGCTGACTAATTGCAAGTTACTACGTTGAAGTTGTGAGATTGAATTGTGGACCTAGCATTACCATAAAAAGTAAAAAACAATGACTATGTTAGTATCTATAAGTCATTTAGTGTATGTTTTGTATAGGATTTTTATAAGAATAAGGAGGATCCTATTATATTAAATAAATCTATATAACGTTTGGGCGTAAATTTTACACTGTATTAACCAATGAATAATGTTACATTTACATTACTTTTTTACACTATTTTCATTATATCATGATGTGGCATATGCTAAACCACACAAATTTTTAATTATTTTGAATTTTTAATATTATAATAGAATTTGTGTGGTTGTAGCACATGTCACATCATGATGTAATAAAAATGGTGTAAATGTAGTATTACTCATTAACCAATTTGCTAATGCAATGTACAAATCTAAATGCATCGTCATTGTACTAATCAACATACAGTCAAAAGGTTATATTAATTAATACCAAGTAAAAGGGTGAGTTAAGGTATGTATTGTATTATTTCATTTGCTTTAGATGTGAGAATTTGTCCCAGACCCAAAAAACCTAGCTCAAAAAACCAGTCCTAGGACCAGACCAAGCCCAAGGGAGGAGGGTCGGGCTCAGGGCCGATCCCTCCTCCAAGGCTCAGGGCCGATCCCTCCTCCAAGGCTCAGGCCTAGGACCGGGCCCAAAACCCCCTCCCCAATTTCCTTTTAACCTTTATAAAATATTCAAAACCCCCTATCTAATATGAAATCGACAATAAATATAAGGGTTAAAATGAAATTTTATAAAAAAATTATCGGGTCCTATGGGTCCAAGACCGTCCCTGATTATTTAGGCCTCGACCTTGAGGGCCCAGGCCTAGGACTGACTGGGCCAGGCCTTTCCCACCTCTAATTTGCTTTGACAGTTTTAAAATAACATAATAAAAATATTTTATATTTCATTAAACTTTTTTTTGTAATTTTTCTATAACTGGTATAAATTGAAGTTAACAGTAAAAAAAATATTAAAATGAAATATTAAATTTTAATGAATATTTGCTAAAAATTTAATTGCAAATTAAAGGTATAATATTATGATTCCAACCGTACTCTTAGGTTCTATATTTGTTTGTGGTTACTTATTGACTAGTCAACGTCAAATAATATGGTACTAGTAAAGAATATAAAATAAAAACAAACTATTTTTGAGTGGTGAACTGATTAAATAAAAACTTTTAATATATTATTTAAGAAATTTTGAGTTTAATTCTTTTTTTTATTATTAATAAAAATATTTATTGAAACTCTAACTTAATCGATAGGTTTAGAGTCTTATAAGATTAACTTATGTCAGCTTAATCTGACTGAATATCTTGATTAAAAAAAAAAAAAAAACCTTTATATAAAAATTTTTCTAAAAAAATAAATAAATTTTACATGGCAAAGCCGGAAAGACCCACAGTGCAAGAAGTGGACCCCATCGAATTAAGAGCGGTTGAGCGTCTCATCCAAAACGGATAATATCGAGCACTCACAGCCTTTGCAGTGTCTCTCCAGAATGGCTTCTCTTTTTTCACCCATATTCTCAGCCTCAAACTCACCTAAACCTTCACATTCACCTGAAAGAACATTCCATCAGAGTAATCGCAAAGACTTTACTCGCACTTTGACTCCCAGAAGAGAAATCTTGAAAGGACTTGCAATATTTCCACTTACTGCATCTACACTATTCAAACAACCTTCTTCTGTAGAAGCCAAAGAGGTTGAAGTGGGCTCCTATCTCCCGCCATCTTCATATGATCCTTCTTTCGTTCTTTTTAAAGCCTCTCCTAAAGACACCCCCGCTCTTCGGGCTGGTACGTACATTTGCTTGCATTTGTTTTTTTTTATGTTAATAAGTATTCGTTGCTGTTAGTAATTATTAATTACAATTGACATTTAAGTACTTTTTATAGGAAGTTAAAGAAGTAGCACAATAAAACCTTTTCTGCGTTTGCATATATTAACGGGTTGAATTGTTGGTATTGCTTCCTTGTTTTTCTAGTAAATTATCTCATATTTCACATTCAGCCCAGAAATTAAATATGATGTATGCTCAGAAGGTTTATTTGAATCTTAAATTTCATTGCAACAAATTTTAAGCTATATCCATATTAAGATGTTGAATGTGTCTCATAATACAGAGCTCTGTTACCATAGTTCGTTTTTGTCCCTTTTGTTATTGAGGGGGGTGTGTAATTGTTGAGACGCATTAGGTTGAGATAAAACAAAATCATTATTGCTTTGGTCATGAAACTTATGATATATGAAATGCATCTGTTTGTGGATAATGTTTAGACTGAAATTTCTGGTGGAATTATCCAATCAGTAATCCACAACCACAGTATCTCATTCTAAGATTTCATGGAAATCTATATTTGTCAAATATTCATCGGGGACACAGATCAGGTCCTTACTACTGCAGATTCTAATTGATTTTGTTTCTCTTGCATTCATTATTGGCTATTCTTGTTTGTATATGCTGATAATACTTGAAAATTAGTTTCTTGCAGGAAATGTGCAGCCCTATGAGTTCATTCTCCCACCGACTTGGAAACAGTCGCGTGTCGCCAATATATTGTCAGGGAATTATTGTCAACCAAAGTGTGCGGAGCCTTGGGTTGAAGTGAAGTTTGAAGATGAAAAGCAGGGAAAAGTCCAAGTAGTGGCTTCTCCTTTGATACGCCTTACCAACAAACCAAATGCAACAATTGAAGAAATTGGGAGCCCTGAGAAATTGATTGCTTCTCTTGGCCCTTTTGTCACTGGAAACTCATATGATCCTGATGAGCTCTTAGAAACATCTGTGGAAAAAGTTGGAGACCAGACGGTAAACTCTTACTGACTCATCTCATATGTATGATGCTTTTGTTATATATTTCCTGGTCTAAATAGCCTTGACACTCTCTATTTCCCTCTTAGGTTGTCCAAACGAGAAAAAGAGAAAAATACAAATGACAATTAACTGCAAATCCAAAAATATAGAGGAACCAAATTTGTGTTACCATTGGACATCTTGATAAATGAATTTAATATAATATACATCATAATCTATTATCTCACAGACCTGAGATTTGCTTCTGCTGCTCTGCATAAGCATGAGCATTAGTCAGGAAGAGCCTGGACACCTTTTTAGGGTGTGCATGGACACAATTGCTAATAAACAATTTATCCATTTCAGTGATTGGTTTGGTGTACTGAAATGGTGCAAGCTGATTTGGTGCTATTCTTCCAGATAGATCAGTCCGATTCATGCTAATCTTCTAGATAAGTCAAGCTGATTTGTTGCTAATTTTCCAGATCATTCGAACGGATTTGGTGTCTTATCAATGAAATGGTGCAAAATGATTTGGTGCCAATCAATTAATGAAATGGACATCTTGTTTATTACTTAAAAATATAGAAACACACAAACACACTCAAAGAAAGGAAGAAAAACAAGAGTGAAAAGCTATTTTGCACTTTGTTATACTGTGTAGTTGGGGGACTAAAGACAGTTTTGAGTAGAGTGGTGATAGATGTGATAGCCAGTGTTAGTAGTAGGAATTGAACTGTTAAAGAATTGAGACTTCATAACAGTTGGGACTATGCATATAACTCTTATAATTTTCCATGAGTGTTATTTCGTTTTCCATTTTTCTTTCTAAAGGAACATTGTCAGACGAGTATTGTCTTTTTTTAAGCTACTGAAGACTAACTTCTCGTATTATGTCGTTTGCAGTACTACAAATATGTCCTTGAGACACCATTTGCTCTGACAGGGTCGCACAATCTTGCGAAGGCGACAGCGAAAGGGAACACTGTTGTATTGTTTGTTGCAAGTGCAAATGATAAACAGTGGCAGGCATCTCAGAAGGTTTTGAAAGCCATGCTCGATTCTTTCCAAGTATAGTTTCTTTTCAAGCTAAAGAAATATTATATTCAATTTTTTATATTTGATTTTTACATGTATTAATGATCTGTTTACTATAGAACTTTGATCAGACTAATAATGTATCACACGCAACAAAACTCTGTTTCCAACTGAGAGAACACATAGTTTTATCCACTGAACATGGATGAGTTTAGAAGTTGTACAAATACAACCAAAAAAAAAAAAAAAAAAATTTGCAGTCCACAACCTTTGTGGTGACAATTGTTAGTATTTCAGGATAGCAATATACAAAACAATAAAAATGATGAAAAATAATAAATCCAAATACAGAAATTTAATAAAAACAAAACTTTCCTTCATTATAAACTAAAAATAATGCAAGAATAATTCTATCACAATTTTCTAACTCCCTTTCCAAAGCATGCATCACATTTTCTTTGTAAAGAAATTCAATAAGAGGAAAATTAAATTTAAAAAAAGTAACAGAAGTCACACAACATAGAATTTTACATGAAAAGATATTGATATACCTACTGGACACTGACGCAAATTTTAAGCACTTCTATTCACAAAAACACTATTCTAAAAATGTGACGCATAAACTATAGTTTTAAATACTAAAGTTGACATTCAACATCTCAATTAAAATAATTCACAGAGCATCAATCAAGAATATGAATTAACTAAATCTTAGACTCCTTATAGATAGTTGTTTATGAGACTTTGTATTTGTACAAGCCAGCTAGATTCAGTTGTACCTTGATCAACTGCCAATGTAAAATGTTTGACTGCCAATTTTGTAAGGTATAATTTTTTTATCTTCAAGTAAAGATATGTACACAAAGACTACATTTATTAACTAGACGATTGTCCAATCTCTTCAGTAAGCTTTGATATCTTCTTCTGCCTTGGCATACGTTCCTGCATCAACTCATAGTTGAAGACCAATCAATTGAATGAACATTTGGAAGCTTTAACATTCATTTAGGAATTATCATCTGTCAGAAGAAATCTAAGGTGTTGGCAAGTTGGGAAATAGACTCAATTAATGGAAAACAAAAATGTCCAAATATATGTTTAGTCTGTCAAAAGAATTCTGAAAGTTGTACCTGTTAACTTATTGATCTAAAAATATCACTTTTTCATTTTGTCATTTTCGAATCAATGGGGTACTGGTTAAAATGCATCTAACTATGAACTGAAAAACTCTCCGTGTCCTAACTCATTCAAGAATAAACATCCCAATCAACACCATGCCCTAGCAACAAGACTCCTCACCTTCTTTTATAGGTAATTAATTATAACATTATAACACATCACTTTAGTAGGCGAACAAAGGACATTTGTCATAAGAAATCTCAAATTTATTGATCTGTGTATGATCTATACGAGATATTACCTGCATATTCCCTGTAACGCTGAATGACAATTGTGTAGCCTGTTGCCAAGATTCTCCAACACAATGTGGAATGCCAAATCTAGCCCTTGGTTCTAAATCATCTCCAACTAAACATGTGGGTAATGCATATTAGCAGCCGAAAAAAAAAAAAAAAAAAAAAACTCAGAAATGTTCCGTAAATCAAATTAAATATGTGGATAATGCATATTAGCAACAATATATATATATATATATATTAAGAAATGTGTTGTAATCAAATTGAAGTGATAGTACTTCTAACCTTGTGTTGCTTCTATGGCATCATCACTTGATTTTTTTTCTGTCTGTCTGACTTCATTTTCTTGTTTCCGCTTTAATCTAGCTGTCATACTTTGCTTTGACAGTTCCTGTTGACTGAAAGATGGAGGGTTTAACACATTCGTTTGTATTTCCATAAAGTCAGTGTCATTTATATCACCATCATGAAGTTCAGCATCTTTTCCTTTAAAATGTCCGGTCTTTTTTGTTTTAACATATTCAATCTCTCTTAGAGCCGAGTCCAGATGGTCCTCAACCATCTTCCAACTACCCTCAACTTCAACACTTTTATCAACAACACGTAAAGCTTTGTGCATAAGTCTACCCGTAATCAAATTCAGTGACCTTGGGCTCTCATGAGTAGAAGTTTCTTGTTTATGATCACCTGGCACCATTCCATTTTTTGCAGATTTAGTCCACCTCTTCAATATATACTCAGAAGGTATATGGAAGATATTCTTTGAGATGAGTATTCTTAGAGAATGAACACACAAGAAGCCAATTGATTCATATTTTTTACAGCTGCATGTGACTTTGGATTCCAAATAGTTAAATTCCACAATGTTCTCCTTATGGGCTCCCTCTGTTAACTTAAATAAAATCTTCCCATCATCTGCAATTTGTTCTACAGCCAATGACAGGCACCCAAGTAACTCTTCTTGGAACAATTTGTAAATTGTTAGAGTATATACTTCTGCTGCTTGTTTTTCTAAGTCATTGCCTCTTAAAATCAATGTCGGTTCAGTTTCTCTGCAATGAAAATCTTCTTTTAGTTCTTCTCGACGCCATTGCTCTGCTGATCTCAAATACTGTTGAACAAACTTTGGTAGAGTAATTGTTCCAGTCATCAAGTTGTGGAAAACATTATTAATGTTCTCACATCCTTGGAGTGATTCTATTCCAGCAGAAAAAGCAACCTTACTGAAAACATGTGACCAATTTCCCCGCATCATATGTAGAGTCTTGAGCCATGAGCTATCCTGAAGATTGTATGTCACCAACAAATCATCCCACAATGAACAAAATTCTTCCTCTGAACTAGAGCAGAATAAGTATTTGTTGAAAAGTTCCTCAAAACCAGGTTGCTTAAAAGATTCATAAAGGTTTTTTCTGGCATTTTGGGTGATATACCACATACCAAGACGATGTTGCGTCCCAGAAAGCACCACCTTTAATGCATCAGAAATTCCTTCACACTCATCAGTGAAAATTGTTTTTGGTCGACGCATGCCCATTGCTTCCACAAATGACCTAAACAACCAAACAAATGAGTCCATACTATCATCAAGCAGAAAAGCACAGCCAAATAAGACATATCGCCTATGATGATTAACTCCCAAAAAAGGTGCACAAATTAGATCAAATCTTTCGATTCGAAAAGTTCTGTCTACAATCAAAACATCTCCAAAGTATTCATAGTCTATCTTAGACCTGCCATCCCTCCAAAAGAAATTAGTTAGGTGACTTCTGCCATCAACTTGCACCGTGTAAAAGAACGAAGGATCCTCCAACTGCAAATGTTTGAGAAGATCTATTAAGCTCTGGCCGTCTTCGGGTGGAAGAACATTTATTTTCTCAATGCGCAAGTAGTTACTACTATCCACCAAATAGGATCCTGCAGAATTTGCAACACCTTCCTCATTCACCATCCCAGCTTCGTCTACAGTATGAATGCTTGCATCTTCTAATGAGATATTAGAAGATGAACACATTATATGTCCTTGATTAGAACATTGACGGGCATGATTATGATCAAGAAAAACTCGGGTTATCTTCCATATGCCATTGTCGTTTGTAAATTGGACCATTGCTTTACAGCCTGTTCTTTTTTCTTTCTTCTCAAACTTTTTTGTCTTGTCAGACTGCTTCACGGATCGAAACCCTTCATTTGAACAGTGAAGATCTCGTTTTCTAATGATTCCATTTGCTAACCGTTGTATCTTTCCTTTTCTTACATTGAAACCGTTTTGTTTAGCATAATTTTTGTAAAAATTGTATGCTTCATCCTCAGATGAAAACTGCATCCCAAGTTCTGGTGCCTGAAAATTGAGTTCCTGAGGTCCCGCTATTAAATTGATAGTTGATTCAGATTGCATGTCATCCCTATCAATATGTGATGGCAAAGTAGCCTCATCACTCTCTGATTGCAGTGAAAAAAAATCGGAAATGAAAAGGCGTTCCATTGAATTTTCCACACTCTACACAAAAAAATGAAGTAGCCCATATCAGAAATTAATATGCTCCTTAAGAAAGCAATTAGTCCCCTAACCTTCGCTCTCTACCGAAAACACTGAAAGAAAACATAGTACTTTTAACAATTATATTGATACACAGTAAAGATATAATGATGAACATAAGTCTTGCCAACTTCTATCCACAAGTCAAGCACCAAGGAATCAGCTTGATATTTATAAAATATGCAAAGTGGCACCGAAAATTATCCAGAAACTATAAGACAGGTTCAACAGGATAAACTCAAAGTCTAACGGAGGGCCAAAGTTTTGTGGGAGAAAAACATACGACAGATTTCGTGTACTGAAATTGTAATCTTCTAACAAAAAAAGTTTTAGTTCAGTATTTCTGGTGGTGCTGTTGTGCATAAATAATAATGAATTAATTCTGAAGTAAATTAGAAATTGAATTGCCAATTGAAAATGGCAGTCTCCCATGACCATGCGGGGGTACTGGGTAACTGCGCCATAGCCCATTAGGATTAGAGGTTTAATCCAATTGGTCAAACTTTTGCCACCATGTAACTGAATACAACAATTCAAATCCAATACTCAGAATTTACGGAATATTTGAAGAATCACTTATGTTACCTTGTTGTGAGCCTCCAGTAAGGACCTCTGAGCAGACTGATCCCTGATTTGTCCTGGAATAATTCCCACGTCAGGACCTTGAGTTGAAATTCGGCTATGTGCTTCTGAACCCGAACACAGTGGCAACCCCTCACTTGAATCGCAAAAGCCAAAGCTCTGAAGCAAGTCCCATTCCGACATGGATGTTCCAGCAAGATTCTGTTTATCTGACTTTCCATCATTTTGCAACTGGCTCAAACGCAACTCCTCTAGATTATGTTCATCTGATTCTTCGTCAGCTTTAAGCATAGAGGACCAGAAATCGGGATATGAACTATTATGATCGACACCACTCATATCTACTGCGCTGCTGAAATATCATCGGCTGACTTCCGACATAGAAGTCCACTTTCTCATTTATTTCCAGCGAAAGAACATGTCGATCTTGGCTGGCTGAGCCGCTGAAGATAGGTAGACCTGTCACTGTGACCAGCCCAATGTTAAATTCAGAATACAAATTCCGCCCCCATGTCTATATTGCTCACAGCCACTAATTCCATAGTCCCTTTTTGTCTGCTTTATTGCTTTAGGAAAACATTATTCAATTTTTCAACGCCCGGATACATCCAGAAGTGGCAACCTAACGGTATTGGAAGTTGGAACAGTCGATATCGGTACTAACCAGTAATTTTCTAACAATATTTAAATTTAAATTGTAATAAATCAGTAAAATATCATTCTATCAATAGCATTAACCTCCTGAGATATGATATAATAACAAAGATCTCTATGAATTTTTTAAAATAACAAAAATCCCCCTGTCATTAATAAACTATTTGTGAGTTGTTAAATTTTTGTAATGTTATGAGTTATTAGATATTACCAAATTATCA